GGGGGTGTTACCAAACCAATGTGCCAGGATCTGGACAATAAAGAACTATCTTATTTTTGCTCCGTCTTTCCTATGAAGCAACTTTCAACCTAAGCTCTCCTCTTTCTGGCTGGTGCCTCTATAAATAAATCATTGATGGTCAGGTCTCCTCTTTCTTTTCTTTGTAATTTCCTTTCATGCTTATTATCTATTTGTATTGCAAGTGCTGTAAAACTCTTACTAGCGCGCTCATATGACCTTATGCAGTTGGGAGCGCCGTACAACAATTTACAAAAACAAACAAACAAACTCTTACTAAAACTAAAACAAGAAGGAACAGTAATCTAAAACCGTATTGAACTTTCTCATCTATGTCTGCAATTTGTTTCTCCCGCCCCCTTTCCCTTTCTCCCTCCCCTCCCTTCCCCTGATGTGGGTGGTTGGCGGGTGCTCTGGCGTGGTTTGCTCCTTCTTTCCTATCAAACGTACTATATTATCATCCATGTATCCCTTGCTTCTTTTTTTGTATTTATTACTCTCTTGTAGCACCTCCAATATTCGGCACTTATATGACCTCTTTGTATTACAAGTGCCGTAAAACACTTACTAAAGCTTAAAAAAGCAAAACCAAAAAGCAAAACCGAAACTAAAACTCTTACTTCAACTGAAAAACTAAACTAAAACTCTCACTAAAACTAAAAAACTATACTAAAACTCTCACTAAAACTAGAAAGCTAATCTGAAACTCTTGCTAAAACTAGAAAACAATTAAAACTCTTATTAAGACTAGAAAGCTAAATTAAAACTTTTACTAAAACTAAAAAATTAGTCTCCCCTCCCCCTTCCCACCTTCCCCCTTAATTCTTTATTAAAGTTAACGAACGTTTCTCACCAATGCCTGTCTTTCAGAGAGCTCTTGTGTTTGGAGGAGAGGGACTGGAACCTATTCCATCCGCGCAAAAGTGGAAGAGGAGCGCTGAGATTGTTCCTGAGAAAAAGAAAGGCCAGCGCAAGAAGAATCGAAAGGGTGAGTGAGTGAGTGCAGTGAGGAGGTTAAGGTCAAGGACGAATCGTTCCCTGGGCGGCAGGGCACGCGTGCTTCGTTGGGTCAACTCGGGGGCGCTTTATCATTATAGGACATTCAGATTCCGTTGTTATTGTTGTTGCTGTTGTTGTTGTTGTTGTTGTTGTTGTTTTTCAACAACAATAACAACAACAACAATGCAACTACTACTACTACTAATGGCTGTTGTTGTTATTGTTATTGTTGTTGCTGTTGTTGTTGTTGTTGTTGTTGCTGTTGTTGTTGTGTTGTTGTTGTTGTTTTTGGTTGTGTTGTCGTCGTTGTCGTTGTCGTTCTTGCTGTTGTTGTTGTTGTTGTTATTGTTATTAAATGGTATTATTGTTAAATGTCAAGACGAAAAAGAACGCACAGTCTCACTACTAGATGCCTCCACGAATACTGATAAAACCATTATTTATTTGTGAGACAGCGTGGTGGAATCAGGCTCTCGTCAATATTTGGGCATATAGAGTTTTTTGGTATCATCTTAAAGCCTGTTCAATTTATCTTGAATACAAGTCAAGATATTTGCCAATGAAGGAGGTGAGGTCACCTGTTTTCAGAGGTAAAATTAGTGAGAAAATGACAACCAAAGATAAGTTATTTCCATAGCTTAAGAGTCCGTGGTAACAGAAAATTTAAATTTTTTGTGTCCTTAATCAACGTTTTTCAGAAAAATCCACACAGAAATGAGTTCTTTAATTGGCATGATATATGATGAGCCAAAAAACAAAAATTTTATAAAAATTCATAAACCTGCGGAAAAAAGCAAGTTTCTTCACTTTGATTATTTTGACGAGAGCCTGATTCCACCACGTTGCCTTACATTTGCTTTGTTTCCCAAATACAAGCTTTTACTACTTTTTGAGTTGGTGGTTGGTGGGTGCCCTGATGTTGTTTGCTCCTTCTTTCCTATCCAACATCTATCGCTCGTATCTCGCTCTCCTCTTTCTTTTTAAATGTTAGTTACTCTCTTGTAACACGTCTAATCTCCAGCACTTATGTGACCTTATTGTGTTACAAGTGCCACAAAACTCTTACTAAAGCTAACCTAAACTTTATTTGAAAAAACCAACAAACCAACAACCCCCCCCCCAAAAAAAAAAAAACCAAAAAAAAAAACCCAACAAAAAACCCACGAATCTTTGATCGCGCTCTTAGAGATACAAGATACTCTACTTTCTTATAAATAGCTGTATTGAGTATCTTGGGTGTTTGTATTGTGACTAGAATAGTTATGCAAGCCATCAAAAATTCTCATCAAGTGCACCTGAACAGATGACAGTAGGCATATATTTGAAAAACGAGCAAAAGTAAACTCAGGGACATCTCTCTAAAACACCTGGTACAGGCACATGCGTACAGAAGATCAAATGTTTCACGACTCAGTGTAATCAGGCGCTCGTCAATATTTGGCCTGGTATAGTCTAAAAGCGTGTTCATTTGCCTTGCTCATGGTGAAAAAATACCCATCTATCTTGAATGGAAATCGTGATATTTGCCATTGAGGAGGGTGGGGGTCGCCTGGTGCCAGAGGTAAAAATTAGCGAGAAAATGGCCGCCTAAAATTTGTGAGAGTGTGGTAGGAAACTGCCAATTTATATGTTATGCCTTTGTTCAAACGTTTTTCAATAACATATACGCTAAAACGTGTTTTCAAATTGACGTAAAAGATGTTGTACAAAGGAAAACTAATCGATAAAAATAACCCAAAGTGTGGAAAACTGTCGTTTTCTTCAATTTAATCAATTATTTTAACGAGCGCCTGTTTTCACCGCGGCGTTTTACCCTTGCGAGAGTCTCTTCATACAATGTTGGGCATCGTGGTGGAATCAGGCCCTCGTTTAAATATTGAAATAGAAGAAGCAGGTACTTTTCCGTCCGATTTGCAAGTTGGTTCAATGTTTTAAAACCTCAACACCTTTTATGTCCAATTTAGAACATATTTCTTTAGGGCTATTACTGAAAAACGTTGGTCAAATGCAGAAAAGTGTGAATGAATTTGCACATTCCAAGGACACTCAAGCTTAAGAATTCACCAAACTTTGGCGGTTTATTCTCGCTAGTCTTACTTCTTACACGAGGCGACCTCCACCTTTCTCTATCGTAAAATATCTCTCTAATTTACTTCCCGAGAGATAGGTATGTATTCATTCAAAGCAAGCCAAGCAATAAACAGGTTTGGATAATATACCAATAACTTCATATACCCCAACATTGACGAACGCCTGATTACACCGCACCGCGTCGTCGTGCGTGACACAATAAATGTGGGAACATTTTGACCCCGCAATGTTGTCAGACGAAGTGTTTGGATCCGCCATGACTCGGCAACATTTCTGGAACTCGTTGTACTCTAGTAGTCGTCGTAATCGGCGATTCCGTTTTTTTTCTCTTCGGAACCGCTTGTTCCCGATTATGAAACGCTAGGAGTCGAAGAAATCGATCCTGAACCCAATTACTTTCTACTGAAGTGATTTTTTTTCCCGGGGAGTCCATGATCTCTTACGGTTGTACCAATTCCTACACAAATACAGTTACTTCCCGCGAGTAGTGAGTACTTCTGTTGAGTCCGACCCATAGATAATTACATGACTATTGACGGGGAGTAGCAATTATTTCCCTCAAGTAACAACTATTTCCTGCGAGTAGCAACATTGTTTTTCTCGAGTAGCAATCCCTAGGCGAGTAGTAGTTACTTCCCGCGAGTAGCGATTACTTCCCGTTAGTGGGCAATTACTTCCCGTTAGTGGGCAATTACTTCCCGTTAGTGGGCAATTACTTCCCTTGAGTGGGCAATTACTTCCCGCGTGTAGCAATTACTTCCCGTTAGTGGGCAATTACTTCCCGCGTGTAGCAATTACTTCCCGTAG